CCCTGAAGGGTATCCCTGATCAGGGTGGGGGTCCCACTGGGGTTGCCTGGCCAGCCTGGGTGAGGGGCTGAGGGCCATTTTCAGGCTGGCCAACCTCTTCAGGGAGGGGGGTCCTGCTGGGGTGCCTGGCCAGCCTGGGTGAGTGGCTGATGGCTGTTTGCAGGCTGGCCACAGCCCCCAGCCACCCAAGTTCCCAGTGGAGGCTGGCTGGAAGCAGGTATCTTCGATTTAGTTATCTTCTATAATTGAAACTTTGTTGCCTTGAGCAGAGCCCACAGCCAGCCAGGGCAGGCGGGAAGCTTGGCTTCCTCCATCGCCGGGGCAACCAAGCCTCCTGCTTACTCCAGCTCTGTGGCTGCCGGCCACCATCTTGGTTGGGTTAATTTGCATATAGTCGCTCTGATCAGCTTGTGGGCGTGGCTTGTGAGTGTAGCAGAGGTGCGGTCAATTTGCATGTTTCTCTTTTATTAGATAAGATGACTGCCAAGTTTCTGGGGGGAAGGGAGAAATGGGGAGAGATGGTGTTTAATGGGTAGAGAGCTTCAGTTTTGCAAGATGAAGAGTTCTGGAGATTGGTTTGCACAGCAATATGAATGTACTAACCCTACTGAACTGTAAAATGGTAAAGATGGTCAATTGTATGTTAAATGTATTCTAGCACACAAAAAAAGAAAAGAAAACCCACATTTTTTATCTACTTAAATGGCGAAGATGGTAATTTTTAAAAATTTTTTATTGATTTCAGAGAGGAAGGGTGAGGGAGGGAGAGAGAGATAGAAACATCAATGATGAGAGCGAATCATTGATTGGCTCTCTTCTGCATGCCCCCTACTGGGGATCAAGCCTGCAACCTGCAACCTGGGCATGTGCCCTTGACCGGAATCAAACCCAGGACCCTTCAGTCCACAGGCTGACGCTCTATCCATTGAGTCAAACCAACTAGGGCAGTGGTCGGCAAACTGCAGCTCAGCAAACCACGGCTCACGAGCCACATGCAGCTCTTTGGCCCCTTGATTATGGCTCTTCCACAAAATACCAGCTCTTCCACAAAATACCGACTTCTGCGCATGGGCTACGAAGTTTCAATCGCACTGTACGTGCACGCCCGCACATGGTATTTTGTGGAAGACTACACGCAAGGGGCCAAAGAGCCACATGTGGCTCGCAAGCCGCGGTATGCCGACCATGGGACTAGGGCAAGACGGTAAATTTTATGTTAAATGTATTCTGCTACAAAAAAAATACAAACAACCCATACTCTTTATCTACTACCTCCCTATTAGCCCATTCCCCCAGCCCTCAGTAACACTAATCAACTTTCTGTTTCTACTTATTTGTCTATTGTGAACATTCCATAAACTGGAATCCTATAATTTGTGGTCTTTTAGGACTGGCTTCTTTCACTTAGCAGGGTTTATAAAGCTCATCCATGTTATAGCATGAATCAGTACTTCACTTCTTTTTATTGCTGGATAATATTCCATTGTATGAATATATCACGCTTCATTTATCCATTCATCAGTTGATGAACCTTGGGTTTTCCCATGAACACTGTTTTTTCCTGCATGGGAAAGATACATATCTTGTTCTGGTAGCATAATTTCTTAGTCTTCATAATATAAGCAGGACTCAGAAATGTCTATGTGCGGAAGAGAAAGGGGAGAGGAGAATGAAATGTAACAAGGCAGTAAGAGAGGGAGGAAAGAGATAGAGAAACAATAGGTGCATCTGCCAGAGAGGGAGCCGTCGGTAATTACTGTGACACTCAGATACCCTTGCGCCGAATCCACCACCCAGCCAGCATCACTCAGGATAACAGTGCCAGGCACTCAGCTTGCATGACTTCCTCCACTTTCTTGTCTCCTCCTAACGGCCATCCAGTAGGTCTACGAGGGCTCTGGGAGTGTCTGGCACTGGATTTCCTGTGCAGGGTTGTGTGCCAGACCGTCATCATGCAGCCAGGCAGACAATGAACTTGGCAGGTCTGGCTGCTCTGTGCTCTTGTGGCACATGTTTTGCTCAGTGTGGGCTACTAAGGACATTGACAAACGTGGGGAAATAGAAGTGAGTGATTGTGTACCTGTGCTTTCAGCCTGCAACTGCAACCCTTTGGGGAGTCTGCCGCTCTCGACCTGTGATGTGGACACAGGCCAGTGCCTGTGCCGGCCCTTTGCCACCGGCCCACGCTGTGAGGAGTGCGCTGTATGTATTTGCCTACGATTTTCCTTGTAGGTCGGGATGCAGATTTCTATGCCATTGCCGAGGAGAGACTCGGTCTTGTTCATTGCTTTCCTTGTCCTATTGTATTTCTGTGTTTACACTTCAGAAATCAGCAAACACTAGGAATCGGCCCCCACCCTCCCGCAGAGAGCTGGTTGTTAAACATTCACCAGCACGCCAACATTTACCAGATAGAACTGAACAGACCCAGGCACCATGTCAATATTTTGTTTTCATTTTTGTTTGTTTCATTTTTATTGCGTTTTGCTTTATTGAGCTTCACAGATGTTCCTGGCTTTTAAAATTTTATTGTTAATTATACTTGACATTAGTTTCAGGTATACACAAAATAGTGATTAGACATTTATATCCTTTACAAAATGATTACGATTAGTACAGCAGAAGGAATATAGCTTTATCCTTTGTTCACCTAAAAGTGCCAAGCAATAGACTATTCGAGCGTTTATCTGTCCCCTCCTTCAGGCTCACCAGACCGTTGGGCCTCCTCTTCTGTCTTCTGTCCCCAGTCGCTTTACTACCCTGCCACTCCTTGCCTAAAAATACTTTGGATGAGCTCATTAAAAAAACCAGACCAGAAAAAAAACAACAACTTGGATTTAAATGTATTGTAGATTCCTGTGGGAAATAAACTCTTGGTGTGTTTTTTTCACAGACTCCACTAACCATATGAGCATGTATGTCTAAAATTAGTCAAATAAGACATTTTTACTCCATAAGCAACGTGTTATGCAATTAGGGAGTTCAAACCCCACTCGTTTCTTTGTTCTCTGATCTTGGCAGCCCATCCTGACATTTTAGAGAAAGAAAAAACAAAAACTTAACCTAGAAAAGGAACAGTGACCTTGACGTGTCTGAAGAAATGTAGCTGATAAATATGAAACATATGCCTATTAGGACATAGTTTTGTGCTAACATGTTAAGTAATTTTACTGAAAACATATGAGGATGGAGCAGAGGAGGCGGGGAAAGAAAGCATGGAAGTAGGGATGCAGAAGGCACTGTACATGAGACGGGCACGTCATCTCCAAGCTTTACTCAGCCACGTGAGCCACGCCAAGCGCGGTGACCACGTGTGGACAGCACGAAGAAGCATGCAGAGCTGTCTACCAGGATCCATGAAGACACCACGTCGGGTCCTTCCCATAAACCTTAGACTCAGGTTGACGTTCTTGATGGGCAGGTTAACAGCCAGTTTGCAATGAACCCGATTGTATTTGCAGAAGGAAAGCAACGGAGCAGTGGGCACTTGTCCACTGTGACTGAGCCCATGCATCTGCCAGGTGCCCCCCATCCACATCTGTCCCATGGTGCCCTGGACCTGCGGAGGCGGCCACAGGACAGCATACCCTGCCCGGAGGGGGTTTCACAACCACATCCTGAGTGAAGCAGTCCCTTTCACATTGCTTGCACCTAAACGGACATTTGGTCTGGGGAAACTTATCAAAAGTCCTTTGCTGCATTTTGTAACAAATGATAACTTTGAATGTTTAAAATAAATATTTTTGAGTAAAATTGGCCATAAAATTTTACCAAGATAAAAAAAAAGTGTGGGTATTTAATAAACCCATTTCAAACAATAGTTCCATGCCTAGTAAGAGCTTAATTTTATCTGAGCATGCTAAATGGAGATTTGAGGGGAAAGTATTTTTCTGAGCATTCTATAGTAAATCTTACCAGATTTAAGAAATAGTTGTTGGTTTTTCACCAGTTGTTTATACTGACTAAAGGTCAAGATGTTGCAATGATGAAAAGTCTTAAATAACAGAGCTGACTCTCTCAGGGAGAGAGATTATGCCAAAACTACTTTATTTATAAACAAGTGATTCTACTAAACTATGATATTCATATAAGAGTTCAAAATCAGTTTGATTGATTCTTTTATCCCAAAATGTTTCAGTATTGTGTAAGTGAAAATCCCTAGGGATTTTGCAGTAAGGGCATCTGTTGGTTTTATAAAAGCAGTTGCAAACAGGCTAGTTGAAGGACTTCTCTTGACTGGCCTTAACCCAGCTTGAGGCTAAATTGGTTCTGTCAGAGGAACTGTGTGGTTTCCATTGCATTTCCACTTGAGCCAATACACAGACATCTCGCCTGTCCCCTGCATTTCAAGTCCTTAGAATGGGAGCTCTGTGTCCTTGAAGGTCATTACCAAGTGCACAGGCAAAAAGGGCTCCCATGTGATTGTTCAGGCTGTGTGGCCATTTGACAGGCATCAATTGAACTGTGGTGCATTCAATATTATAGGCCAAAGCAGCAAATATCTCCACACCGGAATCAACTGAGCACTTTCTCTTTGTAGGTCGGATCCTGGGGACTGGGAAGTCATCTCCATGGGTGTTCTCCCTGTGACTGTGATATTGGAGGCGCTTATTCTAATGTGTAAGTTGGGAAAACGAATGACAACACTTGGTGACAATATTCCTCACTCAAAAAAAAATCACAGAAAAGCACATTTTTTTCTGATATGCTCATCGTCAAAGGTGAAGGAGTTTATTTCATGACAAGCAAAGGGCATTGAAAAAGCGATGATCTCCGAGACATGAACCAGAGCCCAGTTGACTTATTTTTACTTGAATTATTTTTAAGGGTTGAGATGACAGTCCTACCTGCCCGGGTGCTCTCGAGAGAAGATAGGGCTTGTATTGTCTGGTATATTTGTGAATCTGGACCTGCCTAAAAAACTTAACTTTGACGGCCTTGTAGAAAGATACTAAGCTCGCCTTTTCCTGATTT